AAATTCGATCTTCAACTGTTAATATCTTCTAGAAAATTTCGAAAAAAACGTTTTCTATATTTTTCTCGTACTCTCCAAGGGAGCCTCTATCACCCCTTAAAAAGAATGACGCCAATTTTGAATCACCCTGTATGTAGAGCGTAAAAAGTAGCGATCGGTTTCTACATGTTTTAGGACCAGTGGAAGCGAGGCCAGCCCGTGATAGTATCAGACGTTTGCAATACCATCGATAAAGATTTGTGGAACCCCGAAGCATTTGCACGCGATTTTGGGGACGAGAAGAACGACCTGGTTAATTGCATGACCGGAAACTTGGTCCCCAATCAGCCAATGCGGAAGTTTTGGGAGGGCTTCGAAGAGCCTTCAAAACGCCTCAAAGATGAACGTGGTCAACCAATGCTGCTGAAGCTAAAAGACTGGCCGCCTGGCGAGGATTTTGCCGAAATGCTACCGACGCGGTTCCAGGACTTGATGCAGGCATTGCCGCTGCAGGAATACACGCGTCGCAGCGGGAAACTCAACCTTGCCTCCCGTTTGCCGGAGTGTTTCGTACGACCAGATCTGGGCCCAAAAATGTACAATGCTTACGGGTCGGCGTTACATCCGAATAAAGGAACCACCAATCTGCATCTGGATGTGAGCGATGCCGTGAATGTGATGGTGTACGTGGGTGTGCCAAAAGACGGCGATTCGGACGAGCATATCAAAGAGGCTTTCCGCGCGATTGACGAAGCTGGATGTGATATTCTGACTAGGAGACGTGTGCGTGATAAAGGCGAACTGCCGGGCGCGTTGTGGCACATCTATAATGCACGTGATGCAGATAAGATCAGAGATTTGTTGAACAAAGTGACTGTTGAACGTGGCGGTAGATTGGAACCGCACAATGACCCGATTCACGATCAAAGTGGATATCTAGATGGGCCGCTACGGGAAAGACTATACAAGGAATACGGTGTGGAAGGTTATGCAATTGTGCAGTGCTTGGGAGATGCCGTTTTCATTCCTGCTGGAGCGCCACATCAAGTGCGCAACTTGCATAATTGCATCAAGGTGGCCGAGGACTTTGTCAGCCCAGAGAATGTAGCCCACTGTTTCCATTTGACGCAGGAGTTTCGAGGTCTCAGTGACACGCACTCCAACCATGAAGACAAGCTGCAGATCAAAAACATTATTTACCACGCTGTCAAGGACGCCCTGAGCACGCTTGGATCAATTGTAAATCAGCGGCTTGGCCGTCGAGCAATAGCCGTCGATGATGCCGATTCGTCAGCCGATGGCGACTCAGCGTGATCTCGTCCAATGAATGTTGTTTGCCTTTGACAGGCACTTTGGAAACAACTCCAAGTGGGACGTTTCTCATTTGTCAAGCCGATTGAATAATAATATAAAGTTGCATATACACCTCGAACTGGAAACCTCTTTGAGAATGCAGGGCTTGTGCCAAAATTATTTGTCATTATGTTAGTTAATCCTGAACAAAACAATATGTACATACGGTTTGAGACAGAGCCGGTACCATTTCCTCACTGTACATAACTATAGATGACTGTACAAAGCAGACTTAAATTCGGTTGCAAGTTGCACGGTAAAACTTCCTGTTGTAGATTCTCGTGTGCTTTCACGGCACAATGGATTTGTTGTATTAAAACTATTAAGCATATTTACGTACCCTTTTGTCTGCCTGTGGCGAGTAATCGCAGGTGTAGACATCTATTGTTTAAAAAACCCCTTGCTCTCAATTTCTACTACTCATACACACAGCGTTTAGATTGGCTCTAATCCAAATCAAAATTAATTCCTGGGTTTCAGTCATTTATTGTCTTTATTTATCAATTAAAATA